CCAACCCCCATACATAAGTATCATGCCAAAAAGGATATCATTATAAAATAGAATTTAATATTATAAAATTAAAATTTTCCTGTTCCCCTGGGATCACTATAAAATAAAAATACCAACCCCCTAAAAAAAAATCTAGCTAAATTCTGTTTTAAAAAAATAGTTTAGTAAGACCCCGGGGTCCCCCATTTTAAAGTGGTTATTCCAAAGGGGATCTAAACCCTATACATGCATGTAATATAATGCATTATAATGTATTGTATTGTAATGTACTATAGTATAATGTAATGTATTGTTCTTTATTGTAATGTAATATATTGTAGTGTAATCTACTATATTGCACTGTAATATAATGTAAATATGTAGGTTCTAATAATTTAGGACTTATACCGAGAAGATTTTTATTTTTTTTTGAACCGAAAAAGTGTTTGAGTCCAATCACAACCCCAGTAACTTAGGACTTGGTGCACACAAATCACCTGGTAAGAACACCAGTAACTTAGGATTTGTTGCACTAACTCCTATATCACCAGGATGGCCTAAGTCCTAAGTCACGGGCTGATATTATAAAATATATTTTTAAATAATATATTCATAAAATATTAATATTATATTAAAATAATTAATTTTAATTTATTATATATTATTATATTAATAAAAATATAATTATCCCAATATCGTGGATATACGAAGAAATTCCTCTATATAAAATAATTCAATATATTCTTATATATTTTTTAATGTCCAATACCTGTTGGATCGCGGCGTCCTTTACGTATTCGCCGGCCAATTCCTGGCTCAAAGCTGTGTCGCCCTCATCCTTCTCAATTTTGTATATCTCCAGCAAGTGGTGCCGTGAAAATATATATTATTATTATTATTATTGTTATTATTATTGTTATTATTATTATTACAAATCAATTCTGGACCAATTGATATAATTCTCACATCAGCCATTTTGAGAACTGCTCGAAGAGAATATCAGAATATAAAATTGCATTATTCTCATATATAAGCAATTTTGAGGATAATTACTCGTACGAACTGATATGGATGTGTCGAAAAATAGGGGATACCAAAGAAATGGCTATGAACTACACTGTGGGGCCTCCTAGATAGCTAAGTTGGTCTGTAACTCCAATAACTATGGTTTATTGGGGCCCACATTGTACGAAATAAGTAAAATGGTAATAAACCACTGGATTTTGGGATTACGGTAATTTTATCAAGCCGATTACCCTATTTTGACAAGCCCATATTATTGAAAATATTATGATTGTTTTAATATGCTTCCATCGAAAGACTTGAAAGTCAACTGGTGTACAAGCCATCCGCCGCCGGATTTTATCAAGAAGTTACCCCCTAACCCTTGGCCCCATCTGGATATGGGTCAAAACTCGAACCTCAAAAAAATACCCTCTGGTAAACTAACATAGCTATGGAAAATCACATTTTTTAATGGGAAAGTCATTTTCAATAGCTATGTTAGTTTACCAAAGGGTATCATGATCGGACGGTTAGTACAAAAACGCAACAGAAACCGCATCTGCGGCTCGCTGGCTTTCAACTTTCACCCCATACAGTACCTTGGCCCCTGGGCTGGCTTCTTTGGATGTGAGGCTGTAGAGCAATTTGTAAATTTCTCAGAGCTATTTCTAAACTTGAGAGCAGGCGGAGGCGGACGAAAGGTAGTGTAGTGGGAGAGGAGTGGTGTCAAAATGCTGCGCCCCTAAGATGATACACCAAAAACTTTTTTGCGCAGTCTAAGATGATTTTATCCAGAGCATGACTGCATGATACGGTGTCTTGTGCAGCGTGAAATGATGCACGAAAAGGGGTTTATTAAAAACCCCTTTTTAAGACCCCTTGCAGCAACTGTTATTGAGGCTGAAGCAAACCAATTATGCTGGACTACAGGGACATCTCCCTCATGGAGAGTGTGCCTCTACTGTGGCGGACCGTGACCGCGTCACCCGTGGGAATTGAACCCATGACCATTTTAGAGGGGGCCCACCCCCTCCCTTATAATTGACATCTAATACATAACGTCGAGAAGTCTACGTTTTCCACGGGCTTGCCCCCCAATACCCCCTATGATTGTGCTGAAGCACGGAGAACTCAGGTAGCGTCAGCCTACCTTTCGTGATATCAGCAAGTCATATATTATCATATAGTGGATTTTCCCATTAAAAATGGTGGATCTTTCCATGATTTTCCATAGCTATGTTAGTTCACCAGAGGGTATCTAAGACTGCTTGCCAGGTCCTAACCCATACCCCGTCCTTCCCGTCCTTCCCCGCTGGACGTGGCGTTCGCCGTCGCGTTGCTTGTGGCGTTGCCCGACACGTCGGCGCTGGACCAGGCGGTGTCCACACGCACGCGCTCCACGGAGGCGTCCATCGCCGCGGCGCCGGTGTCGTTGTTGGGCAAACGGATGGCTGGAGCACGGCGCCACCAGTCCTGCGGAAAAAACCATGTGGAGAGCTGGAATGATCTGGAAAACCATAGGAAAACCATAGGAAAATGGTGGTTTAATGGGATTTAATGGGATATACCCTCTGGTAATTTGTAACAGTTTGCGAACTGGAAAATGGCCCAGTCGAAATAGTTGATTTACCCATGAAACATGGTGATTTTCCAGTTCGCTATGTTAGTTTACCAGGGGGTAAAGTGTATTGAACTTATCAGAAAACTGTAGAATCAAACAATTGTTGATTCCAAGGGCCCCGATCACGATCCTTTCCCAGTGCTCACTGGCACCCATTTGAAACTATTACCTAATCTCAACAGCAGTAAACATCGGGAAGAACAGAACTTGAATTCATCCCACATAGAGCAGGAAATAAGATACAACATATACAAGCGTACAATACAAGTGTTGGATTTGGGGAGAAAAATGCCATGGTACCAATTTTAGGTGTGCCTGGGTCTGAAGCTTGGGGAGGCACTATTAGCATCTGAAGCTTGCTGTCAAAACTGTTTGGACCCAAGTTAAGGAAGGAAAAACATGTTGTTGGGGTCTTAACTTAACAGAAAACAACCTACGTCTATGTCTGCCTTCTCCATTTCGGCAAACTAAGAGGGGTCCCCTGTTCTTTGTTGAAAACCAACTAATACCAACTATATATGATCTGCAGAAATGCTGGTTATTTTGACTCGAGCCAGTTTGAGTTGGTATCATATGGTGTCATCACACAATTTGCTGAAGAGTTGCACCATGTTGCACCACTTTGCCCTCCCCATTCCATCACCATTATCCCTTTCCTATCCTATCCCGAATTCCCATTCTATCCCCATTACCCCACTATAACAAGCATAAAATCCATAGTAACCACCATAAAATCCATTCAAATCCCCATTACCGAATCATAACATGCATACTTTTTTAAAAAGGCCATCTTTAAGCAGCCCTAACAGCAGCCGTCCTGGCTATGGCTGGGAGCCGGAGCCGGCCATAGCTCATTCTCATCCGTCCCATTCCAAAGCCATAAGATCAGCAACCAGATGGACAGGCTGATGCAAACCACCAGCATAGTTCCTCCGGATTTTTTTGGACCACCGGAGGGGCCCCTAATCTTTTTACAATGTGCCCCCCCCAGTGATGTTTGTTGGTTTATAACCCCCATTAACCATAGTTATAAGTAGAATAAACCATAGTTAATAGTTATTGGAGTTATAATCCAACTTAGCTATCTAGGAGGCCCCACATTTTAGAAATGACTCCACATGTACAGTTTTTGTTGACGTTCGCCTTTCGTTCATGATCTCTAAAAACTCAAAAATGAAAGTCTTAACGAGTCTTAACCAAATTGGGAATCATCACCATTTAAGACAGTTGATTGGCTTATGATATTCAAGCTATAAAATCTCCGTTTACAATACATGTATATATATATAGAGGATTTCCCATATTTCCTAAAGTTTTCCTATGTTTTTCCCAGCAAACTGAACCTTCATTGCTAGTTCGAGGATTTTCCAGCTAGCCACTTGACAGGTCTTCAGCCAACCCTACAATGCTGGCGCATTACCAATGATTCCCTATCACGATATCTCAAGATATCTCAATAAAGCTGGAGTTACAGATATCATTTCACTAGCTTTATTGTTTCCATTGGTTAACCCTGGTGAAACCCATAAAAAAAGATAAACCAGTGGTTAACCCTAGTGAAACCATTGCTTAACCCTAGGTTACAGATATCATTTCAATGGTTAACCTATGTTAACCTGGCTGATCCAATAAAAACTTTTTCCTACGAAACAAATCGTGATCAAGGTCGACCGACCGAGCTCCTTTAACAAGGTTGACCATGGATCAGAGTCAGGTGATGTTTGAGGTTCCCCATCTTGATGATTCCAGTTCCATGGTGCTGGAAGATTTACCTACAAAACTGGGCCATGTGAAAGGGGTACCCTCTGGTAAACATACAAAAAGCGAACTGGAAAATCACCATTTATTTCGAGAATTTTCCCATGAAAAATGGGTGGATCTTTCCATAGTTTTTTGTATGTTTACCAGAGGGTAAATGTAGGTAAATATAAATCATACATGGAGCATCTTGATTATTAGCAAATCTCCTACATTCTCCCCTTGACATCTGAACATCGATTGTCATGAGAGCGGATACATGCATTCTTTTCTGAGAACAAAGAAATCGGAATCTGTGATGTGCTGGATCTTCAATTTCGGCCCACTTGATATATATTTTTTGATATATGTTTTTGTAGCATTCAGGCATGTCTAGCATGTCAGACGTTGCTCATGTGCAGCGCGCCTGTCCAAGAGCGTCCAGCTTTGGCCCGGGGCACCGGTGCTCGGGTCGCTGGGCCAGGCTTCTCTATCTGGGCCAGGCTGATCCGAATCCGGCTGCCCATATTCCAATTTCATCCAATTTTCACAGAGAATTCGTGAGAATTCTATAAGCAAGTTCTAAGCTTTTCTATTGATATATACTCTTTTTATGACCTGAAGAGTCGGTCCCAACTGGCAACAAACAACCACAAATTACATGGTAGCTTTACTGTGGAACGTGGCTATGGTCAAACCTGGGTACCTTCAAACTTGGATGGTGAATCTTACAGACTTTGACCAAAAATGACCAAATTTGTTTTCTCTCCAATCTTAAAATACCACGTACACAATAAGTGATGATAGATCATAAGAGTTGTTCCGTTCTTCCTGCCCCCTCCAGAGTGTCAGTTGCCCCGGGCAGAGAAGAATCATGACTGGTTGGTGGTTGACCTACCCCTCTGAAAAATATGATTTCATCAGCAGGGATGATGACATTCCCAACTGAATGGAAAACATATAATTAACAATGTTCTAAAACCACCAACCATATCTGCATATGGACAAATAAAACATGTTGGAAACCACTATAAATGGCCATTTTCAATAGCTATTACATGTCATTACATGTCATTACCAGAGGTTCTTCCCCAAAGTTTTCGGAGCCTCTAAGGTGCTCATGGCCTCCTCCGTCCGCCGCGCCCGCGCCGCGCTTCCCAACGCCGCAGTGCCCGAAGTGCCCGCGACGGGTGTGACTTCGGCAGCTGGGGCCGCGGGGGCAGCCGTGCTGGGCTTCGGGACCTGGAAACTGGGAAGCTGGGGGCTTGGCAGATTTTATGTGGTTAATTTGTGAACTTATAAACCATATGGGTCATATGGGTCATATGGGGTGATAACATGATATAGCTACAATATTCAAGGGTTGACTTATGACTTGGTGAACTCTGGGATTTAGAACAATCATCAAGGTAAGACCAACTTATGACCATATGGAAAACCCCACCCAGCAAAGTAAAACACTGCAAAATAATATGTTGGCCGTGTGAAGTAAAAAAAACGAATAGAAGTAATCCCCACATCTTTTGGAGACAGCATAAGACAGGCATACACCATCGGTATGTAAAAAGGCACGGACAAATCCATGAATCTCAGCGAAGATACTTAACGATACAATCAAGTCTCCTCTGCTTATAACATCTTATAACCCTCCATGTCCTTCCAGCAAACTGTAACTTAGCAAACTGGAAAATCACCATGCTCAACAGGTAAATCAACGAACTAAATTATCCATTTTCTATAGCAAAGTGTTACATTACCAGAGGGTAAGTTTCAGCTTTCACCAATGCACCTTGAAGACCTCTGCTTGGGCTTCCATGTCAGGAGCATCTTGAAGAGCCTGGCGCAATGATGTTCTTTTTATCGTCATGGGCAGCTGTATCCCATAAACATTCCCTGTAATTATGTGTATATATATAATTATATATATATATATATTATTATATACATATATCTTTATTTATCAATTATAAAAACAATGTAGAGCATTAGAATACATTAGAATACATTAGAATACATTAGAATACATTAGAATACATTAGAATACATTAGAATACATTAGAATACATTAGAATACATTAGAATACATTAGAATACATTAGAATACATTAGCATACATTAGAATACATTAGAATACATTAGAATACATTAGCATACATTAGAATACATTAGAATACTAGAATTATATTTCATAATATCCCATCTATCCCCATAGAATGATTGGTCCAATATTCCAACCCAACCCCTCTGAAAAATCATGGAGTTAGTTCGTCAGTTGGGATGATGACATTCCCAACTGAATGGAAAAACAAACAATGTTCCAAACCACCAACCAGATAGTTATGTAACCAGTTGTTAACTAGTTTAACCATCTAACAGTTATGTAACTCTATAGTTTCATATATTTACCAGTGAATCTTCGCATAAATACCATGCAAGCAAAAAAAGGGGCACCACTTGATGGAATATCTAGAACGTGTCTGATACACAAACTTAAAGATATGGAGGTCTCCTAAAATGGTGGTACCCCCAAATCATCCAAAAAAATAAAACATTCTGAAACCATTCTAGTATTGAAGCATATTGAAACCCATTGTTTTGGAGATCCCCATTTTCAACATCGCCCATATATGTAAGAGAAACTATTGCCAGTCACTGCAGTTGGCAAGATGTTGGGTTGCCATGCCAACACCGGATGAAGCGATTTTTTTTTTAAAATTGCAACGCAACTACAAACTACAGCGGAAAGTTGGACATCATGCCCAATCCATCAACCAACAGCCAAGCCACTGGCCACTTTTGGATACTTAATCCCACTCCAATTCCATCCAATTCCGGTAACTTCGCGTTGTGTCGCGATCATGTATCCAGATACATACCCTCTGGTAAACATACAAAAAGCTATTGAACATGGCCCAGTCGAAATAGTGGATCTACCCAGCTATAAAATGGTGGATCTTTCCATAGTTATGTAAACGTTTACCAGATATATACAAGGTGGTGCCCCCCTAGTTATAAATGTCTTATAATCCCATTAATTAATATTAATTATAGATATATCACCTATAAACCCTAGTTATTGGACTTACAAACCAACTTAGCTAACGAACTGGGGCACCAGATATATAGCAGCCATAGCATTCCCATGGTACAACAACCAGAAAGAGATCCCCATCCGATTCGGCCTCCAAGAGAGCATCCTCCGCGACGCGCAGGATGCGCAGGATACAGTGAAGCCGTGTCTCACTCAATGGGGTCAGGTGATTTACCGTAACCAACAACCATTGGTTGGTTAATATAATCTACCATTGGTTGGTAATATACTGTTAATAATGGTTAATATTAATGGTTATTATATGGTTAATGATGGTTAATAATAATCTGCTTGGTGGTTGACCTACCCCTCTGAAAAATCATGGAGTTCGTCAGTGGGAAGGATGACACCACATATAATGAAATGGAAAATAAAATTCTTGTTTGAAACCACCAACCAGACTAATAAAGGCCTCGGTTTATTTTTTTGCATCTATCATTTGGGGTGTCATCTTTTGGTGAAATAGCCAGGATTTACATATATTTACATGGATCTATCCCGGATTCATGGCAATGTTCATAGAGAAATTTATGGACAATCATGATCACAATTGATAAACCAAATTTGGGGTACAAGTACACTATTTTGAGACATGACATACTAACATACAAGGACATACCCATATTCATTGACTCTTATAGCCAGGAAACCAGTAGGAAACCTCGTCATCAGATTATGGTTGTCTCGTCTGCATAAAACTATAGTTTTCTTCAGACAATGACTACCCTCTGGTAAACGTTTACATAACTATGGAAAGATCCACCATTCTATTACTGGGAAAATCAACTATTTCGACTGGGCCATTTTCAATAGCTATGTTAAATTACCAGAGGGTGAATCCCATGAAAACTATCATTAATCACCATTAATCACCATTAACTTCAGACAATAACTACTAGGATCGCCATGACTCGCCATGATCATCAAAGTCATTCTGTCAGTCCAACTTTGGAGGATCCAAATGATCCAACAAGCCGTTTTTTGGAGAAGCGGGTAGGCGGCCTTGTGAACCCACAAGACATGGAACATAAATTCAGGGTTCATGAACTGGTTGGTTTATATAGTTACTATAGTTTGTATAGTTACTATGGTGATATATAGTTACTATAAACTAGTTACTATAGACTGGTTGGTGGTGCTGGCTGTGCCATGAAAAATGATGGACTTCGTCAATGGGAGGGATTATATATCATTATATATCCCATTAATATGAAATGGACAATAATCCAGCCATGTTTGAAACCGCCAGTTTTTCACAGAATTCGTTTGTTCCCAGCGAATTTCGCGGGGTTTGTTCCAACATCGTCGCAGGGTTTGTTCCAATGGTCCATGCTCTGGATCCATTTTCTGAATGCTGGTGATGGTTGGGTGGTTAACGCGAGAAAAAACACCAACAGCAGCAAAAATAGCATAGTAATCATGAGTAATCAATGGTGCATGTGAAAAAATGTCTATCAAACACATGGACTAACGCCAATGATTGATAGCTTGTGCATCCAACATCAATGTGGCGTGCCGCCATGTTCTATCGCTCCGAGTGCTCTGCACGTATGGCTATATGCCATATTCATGCATATCCCGTTGTGGTAGTGATAGCGCAATGATACCACCATTGCTTTTAGCGATTCTCTCTCCCAGTCTTCTTGATGCAAAGATATGTACGTTTTCTCTTGATTTTGCTGGTCAGATGTCCCCTTGTCGGTCAAGTTTCCTTCATTGTTTCACGTATTGGTCCGTTGGGAACCTTCATGTTTGCTGTCTTGTCCTCAACGTCCCCAACAATCCAGTCTATTTGGTCGCTACGGTGCTCAGCGTTCCCAATCTATTGAATGATTGTCAAAACTCACGGAACCATCCCCTATTTTATGGAAACATATGGAAACCCCCATCTCTAAAAACCTTCGGTCAGCCCAGTCGGTCGTCCTCTTCGAAGAACTTCTCAAGCGCCGCGTCAGCATCATCCATGGCGCCGCCTCAAAGTCGATCCTCCATCGATAGCGTTTTTGTTCGTGTATTTTTATGTATCTTTTGGCAATTGAACCATGATTTACATGGATTTTCCCAAGCACAAATTCGTAAATATGAGGCATTGGATATCATTAGATGGTTTTAGCTATGCTAGTCCGTTTTCTTCCAGATATAGTTTACCCCAACATTTTGTTAGGTTTGGAAATCTTTATGGGTCCTTGGAGGGTCCAGCCCCTCAACAAAAACATGGGTTTGGACCTCTAAAGATGGATTCAAGATTCCAGGGGAGGACTTCCTTCCCTTAGATCCTTAGGTCATTGGATTTTTAACAGGACCAGACTAGCCATCTCCAAGTGTTTCTGCTAAGGGTATGAATTTTCACCTCCCATTTTTGGGGCTCGTGAACATGAAAAAAATGGCCATGCTATTGAGGGAATCGCAACAGCCTTGCGCAATGTGTTTATTCAACTTTTTTTTGCAAAATGCTTAGTATGCTGATGCAAACGTCCCCAAGTTGTAGCTCATTGAAGCTTTGCCGAATTGCCTCATTGACCAGAAAAGTTACGTGACATCGCCTGACTCAAACCCCCAACAGCCTGGTCTATCTGGGAGAACCTGTGGGGTTTTTGTGATTCGGCATTCCACCAGTTCCACCATGTTTGCTGAGCCAAGCTGAGAGGAAAGAGATCCGACTAGGCCACCATTCGGTGAACCTTTCCAGGTCAAGTCTCTGAACTGATAAGCGGCTGCCAAGAAGCAAACATTGATGAAGTTGACGGCTTTAGGATTCATGATGCCAGGGTAAATGATGTTTTTGGTATATTTTGGTTGTTTACACTCCTTCCACCGGGCGAAAACTAATAGTGACTTTTCCAAGGGCTAGTGGAGCACTCTACTCCTGATCAACTACAATGACGGTCGCCTCTATTACTTGTGAATGCAACTAAATAATCCACCCAAACCGAGCAAATTTCCACCAGTGCCAACTGGATGCTCCATGCGTCATCCTGCATCTGCTCAGGCGGAAACCTCTCAATTTTGACACCATTACCCAATGAACAAACCTGAGTGGTGAATTCATCCACGGTAAATTCTGCCAATCCACGGGGGATCTTCGGCCAGGTGAGTTCTGACTACCTCCTCGCTGGATTCACCACAATCGGTACCATCCACTTTGGATGGGTTTGTAAACAAAAATATATCATGAGTTTATAAATTAGTTTGGATTGGGGTTTATAAACCAATCTAATTATATGACTATCAAATCATATAATATCATATCTGTTAGTATATATAAATATATACAGTATATACAAATATATACAATATATAATTATATAATTATATAATTATATAATTATATAATTATATAATTATATAATTATATATATAATTATATAATAAAATATGGAACCAACCATGTTTCACGAAACACGTTCGAAACCTTCGGCAGCTTTTGACGACCGCATGGCCCTGCTTCTCGTGGCAGGAGCGGCGCTGGAGGTCTTCGCGCGCCGCGCTCGATGGCAGCGCTGCCGGCTATACAAGGTCTGTGTCACCCACTTACCTGGAAAGCAGCCCACAACCTATGAAAACCCTTGGTTTCTACAGAAACATGATGAATAGTAGGATTTCCATAATGTATGCCAATTGACTGGAGGGTACCAAAGAAGATTCAAAATGATGATGGGTGTCATCTACGTACGTTTTCATCATTTTTGAATGCTGTTCTTTGCCTGCTTTATTTTTTTGCAATGAAGAGAACCAAGCTAGTCAAAAACATCCGAAATTATACCAAGCATCATCAAACATCTGGGAGAAAACCGGCATGTTGCTGACAGCACCAAATGTTCAGCACAACACCTCTGCAGTCGATGCTGTTCAATGCCAGGTGGGCAAATGCCTCAGGGTCCTTGTCTGGTTGGTGGGTTGAACCACCCCAAAAAGATACGGTCGTTGGGACATTCCCAAGTAGGAATAGAAACAAAACACTTGTGAAACAACATGAAACAACTGTGCAGTTGCGTCAAAAGTCATCTGAAAATCTTCAATGCTTTGGATCTTAAAACATTGCAACTTTTCGACGTTGCCGCTATCGCGGTAGTTGGGTGTCCAAAATTGCTCCAGCTCCTCTTAAAGCCAATTCACTGCGGTGACTGCGGTGCTCGAAACCAGAAGTTGCCATTGGCGCAACTTTTGACAACGCAAAATCGAGGTGTAGGTCTGAATTTGGATCCCCATGAAGAATCCAACTCTTGAAATAATTCAAGATATATCAAACATGATCAAACTACCACCATCCCAGGAATGAGATGAACATAAATGTGTAAAAAAATTGACTCCATGGTTCACTTCCTATCCCTATCCAATTAACACAGACTCTACCACTCTACCATGACTTGCGAGTTGGACAAGATCCGCTTGAGATGAATGCTTTCGATAAGGGACTATGTTGTTGGTATGGCGTCTTCGGTTCTTCGATTTTTGGACTCCAACAATTCTGACCCAGAGCCCATCAACGTGAAGCTCTTCCATTGATGGAAGATTTTTCACAATGTCTTTCTGCGCGTATCAGAATCAGCCTACCTGCGTGGAACCACGAACCACGTGGCTGGTTGAACGGGCTGGTTGCAGACATCTTATTTGGGCATCCTAATACAGACATCTTAAATGATGTTAATAGTGGTTAATCATGGTTAATAATGGCTTATGTTTAATAATGGTTAATAATGGTTTGGGTAAAGTATTGTATTTCACTGAGGGACTATGACCATCTGGTTATTTAACATAGCCATGGAAAATTACCATTTTTTGTATAGGTAAACCATCTATAAATGGGCAATTTTCCATGGCTATATGGAATAACCAGTTGGTATAATCTATCCAAATGAATATGGATTACTGCTTGGTGGTTGACCTACCCATCTGAAAATGGCTGAATTCTATGGTTTATGGTGGATATAACATGATATAACTATAGCTGCTTGGTGGTTGACCTACCCCTCTGAAAAATGATGGAGTTCGTCAGTTGGGATGATGACATTCCCAACTGAATGAACAAATAAAAAATGTTCCAAACCACCAATCAGATATGGATTCTCCAAATGAAATCCTTGCAAAGGGAAGTGGTTCCAAAAATCACGCCCAACGCCCCTACAGGGAAATCTACACGAAAACATGTGTGCCTTGACCCTCGATAGAAACCTGTTTGCCACATCATTTCACTATCACCGATTTTCAAGGGTCATCGGTCAGGTATCTAGTCATTGCGGAACTGGCTGACGCGCACCTCATTGGAGAGTCTTTTTGTATTCCAAATAGCGCCCAGTGTATTCCTAGGTGCGCAATGCATGCAATGCCAAGCAAAACTGGTGGCTAAATGGGCTGTGAGTAAGCAAACAATACGGTTCACATATCTCTACATCATTTGACATAGGGACTTCAACGCCTTTTGCCAAAAACTTGCAAAGTACTGATGTTTTCACTGACCAAATATTTGGCTGAAGGATTCCAGTATATGCATCAAGATTGAAACCGTAGGATGAAACTCCAAACTCATACTCAGGGAGCCACACAATTTTGACATCAGGCACGTTTTTCCATTTGTTCCATTTGTACAAATCGAAATTTCATACATTACATACCCATCATACCCTCTGGTAATTTTACAAAGCCGGTGATGGTTGGCTGCTGGCTGAAACGCATCTTCTCAACCAAAACACTTCGACAGTTTGTTGACCTGGTTGACCTGTTCAGGCCATGATTGGGGTTGTGGTACCTCACTTCTCGGCTAACCCTGTGAAGCCCTGTAAATACCGTTACCATCTGGTTATGACTAACATAGCCATGGACAATCCCTTATAAATTGAGGTTTTAATGGAACAATCATCTATAAATGGGCCATTTTCCATGGCTATGTTAGTCATAACCAGAGGGCACCCAGTCTGTAGATTCCTACATGGCAAAACAAGGCCTTTAGAGACTTTCTCACATCTATCGGCAGGATGTGCTGACGACGGTCTCCACAGCCACGCAAGCCCACCTCATCTTACGCAAGAAGTTGCTGGATGGATTAGAGACATTCCACCAGCAGAATTATTAACAATCCATAGAATGACCTAAACATAGCTATTGAACATGGTGATTTGGTTCGTTGATTTTCCCATTAAACATGGTGATTTTCCAAACCTGGTTGGTGGTTGACCTACCCCTCTGAAAAATCATGGAGTTCGTCAGTTGGGATGATGATTCTTCCCAAATCTTCCCAATACATGGAACAAATAAAACATGTTCCAAACCATCAACCAGATAGAATAGCTCAACAATCACCTCAACAATTCCACTTCATGCCCATATGCTCCATGTATGGAACATTTACCAACAGTTGCCCTAAAAATCAACCAAATGTAGGTAAATATACCATACATGGAGCATATGGGATGGCTAAACAACCACCGTTTACATAGAAGATCAGCCACCTGTTTCCCCGATTTCTTTCGCCCAAGACTCAGAGAGGTAGGTCTTGATCTTGGGCGCGGAGTACTTCATGACCCACACAGGAAACCAGGATGGCACCTCTGTGGGACAACATTCGAACTGATGAGATTCGGTGGATGATGAAACAGTTCTTACCCTCTGGTTATTTAACAAAGTTTGCTATTGAAAATGGTGATTTAGTTCGTGGACTTTCCCATTGAAAATGGGTGGATTGTTCCATAGCTACGTTAAATTACCAGAGGGTACAATAATCATGAATGAATTTATTGCAAATGGGATGTTTCTTTATCATCCCCCAAAAAAAGCCAAGCTCAGACTTCAATTATATCTTGGGTCTGGAAACTGTGACTCTCAAATCAAACGTTCTTCACAAATCGGACCCAACTAACTTGCAGCCAGGAAAAAATCCAACTGGGACCCTGCTACTCCTGAGTGCGAATTGGGCACTTTGACTTGAATATTCCATTTCCATGGTCAATCTTTGATAGTCCACAAAAGATTATATAATCATTTTTCTGGTTGCGGTCATTTTCCAGTTCTAGCAAAAAAAATGACTAGTTTCTACCCATCCACACGGTTGAGGTTCACTACACCTATATGCCATTGTTAATTTACCATAATTTACCACTATATAATATTTCATACTATATTACAGTTTTTTCGATCCCACATGACTATGGAACCCCCTATATCTATCTATATCTCGTATATTACCAGGACAACAGCCGGCCGAATTTGCGCAGCCAAACCTCGCTAAGGGAGGCCAACATGCACTTCCTTAGCGATTTGTCCATCGGTCTGATGCTGGTTGACCGCTCCGTCGAAATGCTGGGTCCTACTTCATCACACCATTCAAAAAAAGAACCTGGAATCCTGGAAAGACTGCCAACCTACAGAAACCGGTTTATTAACATTTATTAACTACAAGGTGTACTCCATTCCTAGATTGAAGTGAATTCCAACTGCGGGGGGACTATATCAAGCCCAGAATCTAATGCCTTAGACCAAAGAAATGTCACCAATGATATGGCTGCAATGTCTCCGGAACCCCATAGAGCTAGACTTTCATGGCAAAATGTTTGAAAAATGATGGACTTCGTCAGTTGGGATTATGAACTTCCCAATATGATGGGAAAGTCATCATCCATTCCATGGTTCCAGTCACCACCAAGCAAATATCTCATCAACCATTATTAACCATGATTAAATCATGATTAACCAATATTAACCACTATTAACCATTATTAACCAAACCCTCCAAAACCTGACCTGGTTATAAGTACTTAGAACTGATAAATGGCCATAACTGCAGTCATCAGATCATCAACGTCTCTCCAAACCCTCAAAAAATACCTTGTTTTTTTTCACCAGAAACCTGGCGCTGCGAGCTGCCAAGGTTCCCCTTCTCTCCTGACGGATGCGCTTCGATGGATCCGCCCTTCTTGGTCCGGCCGTCCGGCCGTCCGTCGGGCCCCAAGCTCTCCTGCGACGCTCCGTCGATGTTGTTGGGATCATCCAGCAGGTAGCAGGTAGCATGGGATCAAGATTCAATGGCTTGGTTTAAGGGAAAATCTACAGTAAACCATGGTTTTTACCATCAAATTGATCGGGCTTTCCTGTAAATTTTCCCATCATCCAATTCTATGAAAGATCGATTTAATCCATGGGAGATCTCCAGGATCCCTTTTTTGGAGGTACGTTAGTACCATTTTTCAGGCCATATTTTGAAAAGATATCCCCTTACATCCTGAAATTTCCATTGATTTATACCCCAAGACACTAACTGGTTGGTGATTTTAACCATCTTGAAACATATGAAAGTCAATGGGAAAGATTATCCCATATATTATGGAAAAATGAAAAATGTTCCAAACCACCAAACAGATAGATTTATACCCCAAGACACTAAGGTAGAAGATATTCACCGATTTTTTCCAATATGGCAGCGATGCCAGCAAAAAACCATGTATGTTTTTCACCCACTTACCTGGAAAGCAGCCCACAACCTATGAAAACCCATGGTTTCTACAGAATATGAGCAGATGGAGGTTTCCTAAGTCATGGGGGGTACCCCAAATCATCTAAATCATCCATTTATAGATGGATTTTCCATTATAAGCCATCCATTTTGGGACATCACCATTTCAGGAAACCACCATATATGATGAATATTTCAAACCAAACAGCTAGTTACTTCCAGATGTGTTTCGCTTGCAACTCAGAACAACATATTGTGTTCTGAGTCGCAAGGTGAGGAACAAAGAGATGGCTATAGTTTATAAACCCATGAACTATAAAGAATACTATAGACATCTCCACCATGCACCCAACACTATGTTTACCAACTCCTGCACGAACTGGAGCACTGCAAGGTGAAATGGAGTATCTATATATATATATAAATCAGAAAAATGTGTAGAAACAAAACTTAAAACCGGAGATTTACAGTAATCAGAAACATTTTAGTATTAGTAAACATTGCTATCTAAACATCAACCCTTTTAGGCTTCAAAATGGAACCCCAACTTCTGTGGCGTCTCCTGCATCCAGTGGTATTGTCCGGGACAGTTCACATCTTCCTTCGCGATGTCAGGGATCATACATTTTTTCCCTGTCAGAGATAGTGGGATGTATCATCAAAAAAATGGGGACTATATGGGACTATACTATACCTTATTTAAATATATTTAAATAGTAAATAATGCTATACCTTATCTAATGAATACTGTAATGGACATGGGTATGGCTGTGATGTGAGCGACTTTCCTTGAGCATCGGGCTATCGACGCGGTTGCCACATGGGTGTGCCCTGGTTCATTCATGGGGGCTGACCCCAAAAGGACAAAAAAAAACTAGTAAAAAAGGGGTGCATAAAATCCTGGCTTGACAGCATGGTGATTTGAATGTTGGGAGACTTTGAAAAGCAAAACTGAAACTTTGCCAATTGAGACACCTAACAAGAAAATCGTCACCAGGATTGACACAAAGACGAAGATGGCACTCATTTTGTGCTAAGTCTTGTGTGCAAACCTTCCCAGAAGGATCAAACGGTTCTGAATCATATAGGTTTCCACATCACAGAAAGGTAGCAGATGGGAGTTCATAAACTACCCTCTGGTAAACATACAAAAAACTATTGAACATGGCCCAGTCGAAATAGTGGATTTACCCATTAATAGCATGGTGATTTTCCAGTTCGCTATGTAAACGTTTACCAGAGGGTAAGAGCCACTGGCCATGGGGGGGCTTTGTAGACAGTCATGGCATCATCATCATCATCATCAGCTAGATCCCGTCCTCAACGGATAAATGCAACGTAATAGAAGCAGGAAAGAACGGTTTTACAATCCTTAGTCCAAGCAAACGGTGCGGCCAGATTGGAAAGTCCAATGATCAGAAAAAACGAAAAGCCAGAGCATGGTTTTTGCTGGGCCAGATTGGTAATTGGAGGATCACCCCGCAAATTGCGGCTGCTTGAGGTAGGGTTGTGCACCACAAACAAATGGGAACACTTTCTTAGTGGACCTGTCGACCAGAGTTGTTAACCAACAACTAAGCTGCATGATCCAGTGGATCCAGCGAGCGCTTATCATTTACATTCATTTACATACCGGTTTCGAAATGATGACTGCCCCTCTATTAACCAACAAACCAATGGGAATTATATGGGGATGGGTCAAAACCCTGTACCCCTGGTGAACTTTTGTCACTTTGCGATTGCTGCGTACATTCACGCTTGGTCTCATGCCATGCTACCGATGATAATCCGGTTGGATAACATTGTCATCAGTATATTCTGTACAGTTTAATTCCTGCAGGTCATCAGGCAACCTATGCCAGTCACTCTTGAACTGACGGTCGGTCAGAAACCGTGACACCGCAGTCGCAATGACTCGATTCATGTCAGCCGGATATACCTTGGCTTTGGCTGTTTGAAAGGAGCCATTGCTTTGAATTCCGCGCAGGGGCTGATGTCCCGAGATGTGCGAGCAGCGTCCTCTGTTACCCTTCGTGAGGGTAATGTCCATGAAGGTGGAGAGCCGCAATAGGAGCATTGTTGTTGGTTTGGTAGCACAAAGCCCGTAGATGCATTGGTCAAATGAACAAACTTGGAAACAAGCCAGCCTCGATAGCACACGTATAGCATGCAACATCCACACTGATGATGGCTTCTTGCGCATGAGCCATACTGGAAATTGGGGATGTTCAAGAAAACCGCATAATCCAAGCTGTGCAGCAAGTGTAAGGAGCTCAACCAAGAACTGAATCAGCTTCGTTCCAGTCCTCACTTGGGCCCACTGCTTGACAGTGAGGCCTGCTTTACCCCAGGGGCACTCATACGTGCGCACCGGGGGAGGGCCTCCGGGAGAGTGCCTAGCCGCTGACCATGTCTCACAGCTTGGACCACCTCCAACTCCAATCACCTGCCCACATTTCATTTTTTCCATCCAAAAATCTTTACTGCTCTCGTCAGTAAGATCAGAATGTTTTTTCGCCAAGCATAAATCCACGGAAATACAAAACATGTGCTGCTCCTCAGCGATGTCATGTGCCTCAATCCAATGTTGTAAATCTTCTTTCCGGCGAAACCCACTGAAGAAATGCACAAAGATGAGCCCCTTCACATGGAGTCTGGCTGTCTCAGCAGCAAGTCCAAACTGCTGAAAAATGCCAGCCTCACCCTGCTCCCTTCCACCACTGGATTGCAGAAGAAACGGCACAATCTCTTCATCTTCGCCCTCTGCTAGGACATGCTGCTCACAGAACCCATCTAGACCTTCATAGGCTCGACCAATGACCTGAGCTCGGCCCAGCCATTTTGACCGCATCACGTTGGCTGCCTCTGTTCCACACTCGGGTAACAGAGGACCATGAACCTTGGTCATTGGGAGGAAAGCTTTCGAGGGATTCCATCCTTGTGATTTAAGCACTCTTGCCTGTTCCCTTTCCTCACTCTCAAGTTGTAAAACTACCTCATCTGAAACCGGGACAAAACATGCCATATACGAATCTTTGCAAGGCTTGGAATTGCTCACATGGGACAGCAGTCGAGTGCGATTGAAGAACTTCCTGCCACAGGCTAAGCACTCATCTCCTAAGACGTAGTACTTAAGGACCGTTCTGTACTGATGCTTGTGTCTGGCATGAACAGCCAGAGCTTTTTTGGAGGGAAAAGACTCATTGCAAAGGTTACATTTCCAACTCTTGACAACTGTGGCTTTGTCTGGAATGGAAACATCTGCAAACCTGGCTACTCTATTGTGAATTCTGAGGCTCCAGAGCTTGCCCTGTGCCTTCGCTTGATTGAAACTCAAACAAGACCTAAGCGCAGCTCTGACATGACCCTGCCAGCGTTGATCAATAGCTATGAAATTAAGCACCGACACTACATCTGACAGGTCTGGAATCACCCCGGGTTGAAGGTGCATCCGAAGCCATTTGTAAGAAACCACAAGATGAGGCAACCAGGAGTTCTCATGTTTGTTGTCATGTAAAAGGGCCCATAGCGCTGATGGAGCGATCTGTATGGCCCTACGTGCATATCTCAGCCTGGCGGCATGCAAATGATCAATGGGTCCATTCAATCCTACCAAGGCACACAATTCCACTGTTGAAAAATGAAATGGAGGGATCGGGCGAGTGTGATTCTTTGCAATTGCAGCTACCATTGACTTGATGCCACTTTCCCAGCTCTCAAGATCATCGACAGTCATCCATGCCCAAGTATGAACATTGTAACTGTGACGTGACATCACCAGGGCTGCAAAAACAGAACACTTTGTGTGATCACCCACATTTTTCTTACGATAGAACTGACGAGCTAACTGCCCGTAGGCTTTCTTTGCTTGCGCAATGCGATACCTCAGATCTTTTTGAATCACTGCATGATCTTGGACAAATGATCCCAGGTGTTTGTAAGAGTGCACGATCTGGAGCTGTTGCACTCCTTTCTCTGTAACAATTGGAATCTTTCCACCTTTCTCATGCCAGACTCGATGTTTGGCGGCTTTAGAGCCACAACCTACAAGCTTCAGAATGGCCTCTGTCTTCCCGGCTTGGTAGTTGATGCATAGCCCCCGCGAGGCTGCAGCATCATGCAAACATGATGCAATAACCTGTAGATTCGATACCACTCCATCAGGTGTATCAGCATGAATGGCATACGCTATATCATCTACAAATGTAATTTCAGCAAATCCTCTACGGGGAACTGACTCAGCATACGTCACGTCTGCAGCCGGCTGAGGATGTCCAAAACACTTCATGTCTGTTGAATCCAGTATACATCGGCGGGCGTCGAGCACGACCAACCGAAATGCCATGTTGAACAAAATGTCCGCCACTGGATCTCCAGGCCTTGTACCCCTTGTTGTGGCAACATTGTCAGTGCTGCCATGCATTGAGAAGTGCGTTCCTGAGAACATATCCCTCAAAATCCCTGTCCTATGCTCATCAAGGCCTACAGTAGCATTGTCAATCGCAATACAATCTTTGATTTCCTGCCAGTCCTTTGGTGTAATTCCTAATCTTTGCATTGCATAGCAAATCGTGTCATCATGGAATTCACCTTCAAATAATGACGAGCGCAAAACAGAGTAGAAGGCAGCTTGCAAATCCACAAATAGGAGACCGCAAGAAACATTTTGAGATCGGGCCCAAGCCAAGTGTGCGTGAAGAAGATGGTGTGCGACGTCAGTGGAACACCCCTTCTTTCCACCCATTTGTATGAGGTCATCATTGTCCATCCATATATCGGCTAAGCCCTTCCTTACATGCGCATGATGCACTTTGGCACACACATCAGAGAGAAAAATGGATCTATACGCCGATGGTTCTGACGGTGATCCCTTTCCCTTGAACAGAGGGATCAACAGTCCACCTTTCCATGTCAAAGGCTCGCGCATGTGCCATGTGGCCTTGGCCAATAGCGGGGTAAGAATCTTTGCCATCTCTACCCCTCCAGATTTCAGGATGTCAACTGGTAACTGGCCAGGCCCTGGGACTTTTCCATTCTTGAACTTGCGAATAATGGACAAAACCTCTACTGGACTGGGACAGACGTTCGCCTCACGTACACCTTCACGATTACTGTGAGCATGCAGTTGCTGAAGTTGTATGTCTGTCACGCCAACCCCAGCTTCAATGACTGCAAACTGACTTTTCCAGACATTCTGACACTCCTCGAACGACTGGGCAAAGGCGCCACCTGGCAACTTCAACTTGGGCAAGGGACGCGATCCCTTGCTGAGGTCTTTCTTGCGTCTACCAAGCCTCTGCAGCTTTTTATAGACCTGAGCTGTGTCATGATTGTTTCCTGCATCATTGATATCATCTAACCAACTTGCATACCAGTCTTGCTGGTCCTTCAACACCATTGGACGAACAATCTTTTCAATCTGCTTGATCTCATGTACCAAAAGCTGGTCATCAAAACCCTGTCTTCTGGCCAAGTCAAGCATTTGTCTTTTCAAGCTGATACCTTCCAGAGTGACGTCCCTGAGAGTCGGTCTCGATTTCTTGTTTTTCCTTTTTCCAAAGTGTTGATAGGCAAGTTGAATCAGATTTGTTTCCACAATTGCCGAATGTTCATCAATGTTCACAGACCACGATGGCAGCGGCAAAGTTTTCAAGGCTTCTGCAAAAGCTTGCTGCGCATTTGCATCGTGCATCTTGTGAAAATCCCATTGATATTTCTTTCCGACGTCATTGATGGGCAAGATTCCTTCAAGGACACAGACTGCCGGACAGTGATCAACATGACTGAATCCTCCATCAAAGTCACCACAAACATACGACTTCGAACAAGACGCAAAGAAGGAGCTGCTCAATAGCACATAGTCACGTCGTAGATGGTCACCCCTAGGGTGTCTCCACGTAGCTGATGACCCAACATGGCTTGGAAAAGTAGAGGGCACATACAACCCGGTTGAACAGAGAAAAGTCTGAAATTCGTACCCTTGAGGGTTCATTCTTTCAGCATGATGGGTCCCGAAAAACTGTGTATCTTGATCAGCTAACGGTGCATTTGCGTCTATCAGGACCACCATATTTTCGCTCCTACCATTGACAACTGTGTCTGTGAAGCTCTCCCACCACTTTTTGACCTCGGAGATGGGTCGCTCAGCAGAAACGCAAGGGGCATGCGCCACAACCGCCGTGAAGCATAGTGGACCCTCAAAGTTCACAACCAGCATTCTGCTCTCTTGTTTTGTGATGGTGACCTTACAGTCGTTCAAATACACCTTTCTGCCATCATCAAGAACGCAAATTGGCAACGATTTGTGAACCCACAATTCGCATCCAAAGTGCCGAGCACGACCACACTGCTGAAATCCAGAGGAAAAAAAA